TCTACTAAGAAGGCACCGACTGGCCCCTGAACAGATGTTTCAGGCATCAGCCAGCCCGCAAGTGCAAATGTACACAAGGAGGAGACACCAGGTCACACCCACCCGACTGGCAAAGAGAAAGGGACAAGTATGGGTGAGGAGCTGGAAAATGAGGACTTTCCACACCGCTGGTGGGGATGTGAAATAGGGCAGCCGGTTAGAAAATAGCCCTTCCCTTTCTTCTCCTTCACCTTCTTCTTCTCTCTCTCTCTCTCTTTTTTCTTTCCTGAGATTGGGTCTCACTATATAGTTCTGGCTAGCTTTGGACTCATGGCAACCCTCCTGCCTCAGCCTCCTGAGTGCTAAGATTATAGGTGTGCACCACCACGCCCAGTGAGCAGTTTCTCAAAACTTTCTTTCTTTCTTTATTGGTACTGGGGATCGAACTCAGGTCCTAGGGTTTGAGAGGCAGGCAGCGGAACCACTGAGCTAAATCCCTGGCCCAAAACTTTACATATTCAGACACGAATGAAGAAAAGAATTCTGGGAGAGTTACAAGAGTTACAAGACCAAATTTACATATTTTTGGTGTAGAACAGGGTACCAAGGTATAGACTAAAGGCACAGAAAATCTGTACATTGAAATAGTAGCAGAAAACTTTCCAAGAAGTCTTAGGAAAGCTATAGACATTCAGGTACAGGAGTCATATAGGAGGAATAGATGTGACCAGAAAAGAAACTCCCACATCCTACAATAGTTAAAATGCCAAGAGTACAGGGCCGGGGATTTAGCTCAGTGGTGCTGCCACCTGCCTCACAAGCGCAAGGTCTTGAGCTCAATTTCTGGTACCAAAAAAAAAAAAAAAAAAAAAAAAAAAAAAAAAAAAAGGTAAGAGTACAGGAAAAAAGGAAAGGAACATTGAAAACTGTAAGAAAGAAACAGGGAGTCATTTACAGGCAAACCCATAAAATAACTGCAGATTTATCTGGAGGATCTCTGCAGTCTAGTTGGGCATGAAACCATGCATTTGAGCCCTGAAAGAAAATAACTGCCGACTTAGATCACTCTATTCAGCAAGGCTATCCTTCAGAATCAAAAGAGAAATAAAGACATTCCTAGATAAGCAGAAACCAGAAGAATTCACGACCATCAAATCAGCATTGCAGGAGATATTGAAAAGGAATCCTGTGTACAGAAAAGGAAGAGTAGACAAGCAAATGTGAACTAGAAAAAAATGAAACATTAGAAAAACAACAGAATTACAGGAATTAGTACAGACTTCTTTTTTTCAGTACAGGAATCGAACTCAGGACCTTGCACTCGCCAGGCAGGTGCATACTGAGCTACATCGCTGGCCCAGTACAGACTTCTATATGACAATGCTGAATGCTAATGGCCCTAATTCTCCAGTTAAAACACAAGACTGGCAGACTGGATTAAAAAACAAGACCCTGCCCGATGTGGTGGTGCACACCTATAATCCCAGCACGCAGGAGGCTGAGGCAGGAGGACTGTCGCAAATTCAAAACCAGCTTGGACAACATAGTGAGTTCAAGGCCAGCTTGAACTACATAATGAAAACTTGTCGAAAAAAAAGCATCCCAATGATGAATGTAACTGTACTATATATACCTAAAATGTACCAATAAATTCAATGAAGAAAAAAATCAAAATTAAAAATGCAAACCAATAAATGTAATGCACCACATAAATAGAATTGAGGATAAAAATCACACGATCATCTCAATTGATGCAGAAAAAGCTTTAGACAAAATTCAACACCCCTTTATGATAAAAGTCCTGAAGAAGCTGGGTATAGAAGGATCATATTTCAACATAACAAAGGCCACAGATGACAAACTCATAGCCAATATCATACTGAATGTGAAAAAAAGATGAGAATGTGCACTTTGTACACAATACAGTACTTAAAATTTTAGTGAGACCAATTAGGCAAGAAAAAGGAATAAAAAGGACATAAATAGGAAAGGAAGCCAGATGTGGTGGCGCAGGCCTGTAACCCCAGCCCTCAGGAGGCCGAGGCAGGAGGATCGCTGTGAGTTCGAGACCAGCCTGGGCTACATAGTGAGTTCCAGGTCAGTCTCAACTACATAGTGAGACCCTGTCTCAAAAAACAAAAAAGAAGAAGAAAAATTTGTGAGCTAAGGTCACAAAGCAAAGTGTGCACAGCTGCTGTCAGTTACGGGCGAGGGCTTGACCCAGGAGGAGAGGCGTCCTACGCAGCTACCGAACTGTGGGCAGAATTGAGAGTCATGGAGAGGCGGATTTGATGAACATTTTGAGGGCCTAACAGAAATGGTTGAGAAGCGACTCTAGCGGCTACAAAGTGATGAGCTCGCTGCGGCCACCACGTCCTGCCACATTTCTAATGTCACCCTATAAACTGCACAGGAGGCCACTTGTCAGGACTCCCAGGTGGCAGACGGGGAAGCCCTGAGGGCTCCACTGGGGCTCCCTGGCTGCCCTGGAGCCGCTTCTGACAAACAAGGGGCAAAACTGCTTTCTGGCATCTTAGCCAAATCAGCAGTCTTGTTCACTGGAAGTGGTCAAGATCTCACTCTTGGTTTGAGCCGCGTAAGGGAAACGCCTCGTATTGGCTCTCAAACTGCCAAACATCTTGAAGCACTGGGGATCGACAGTGTGCGTGAACTTGGAGTGCTGGCGCCCAAAACATTAGAAAAGGAAGCAGGAATTTCAGTTGTTCAGCACGTCCAGAGGCTCGGTTCTGGAGAGGATGACTCTTCTGTGACCCCCAGGACCACCGCAGTCCTTTAGTGAAGAAGATGCATTCAAAAAGATGTTCATTGAGTTGGGTGTAGTGACGCACGCCTATAATCCCAGTTCTCAGGAGGCTGAGGCAGGAGGGTCACCCACAAGTTCAAGGCCAGCCTGGACCACAGAGCAAGGCCCCGTCTCAAGAAATGAATAATCTAGAGAAAAATTTCAAGGGAACAAACATTTGAGTTACGTACTATGTGCCTCCAGAAGAATACTGTCTTTCCTTTTTACAAAACAGATGCAAGATATTCCCTTAGTCTGAGGGACTATTTATCCAACTGCAGGCTGGTATCCTCCCCTGCTCTGTGTACACCGGAACCTCAGACTTAACTAAGGAGGTTCTTATCTGTGTAGCCCAAAGGACTGTTCCTATTCCTCAGATAGCGGATCAAGAATGAGGCAAGGACCTAAAGAATCTCAAGGATTCCGCTAAGCAAACCCTGGTCTGTCTCTGCCATTTATTTCCCAATTTGCAGAATGAGCAACTCTTCTCCAAAAACCACACCACAGGGCAGCGAGATACAAAACATAGCAGTAGCCTCCCACCAAGAGGGACTCCCGGAAAAAGACTCTGCTGAGGAGAGAATGACTTTTCCACCTGACACCGATCCTCCAGTGTTCTAGCAGCTGCAGAAGAGGGCCGAGAGCTGCCGGCCGAGTGGAAGGGAGCCAGATTACATTTCCACGATGTACACAAATTAGGACGGTCAGAAAAAGGTCTAAAAAGCCAGGAACGTGCCTATCACTGGGCTCAGGTCAGCAGTTTCTTAAGCTAAGTTAAACGCTAAGCATCAAGAATATAGAAATCCAATGGAAAATGTTCCAGATAAAGCAAGAACGGTTACAGGAAGTAAATTCCAGCACGAAGTGTAAAAATATAACAGAAGCAATTACTGTCCTTTTTTTCCTCTACCAGGAAAGGAACTCGACCTTGTGCTTTCCAGGGGCCGCCCTTGAGCTACATCCGGGGTCTCCGTCTCTTAGTTCCCGGCTCCCCCCACCCCTAACAGTTTCACTATATAGCTCAGGCTGGTCTTGAACTAATATCCTCCCGCCTCAGCTTCCTAAATGGTGGAATTATAGCTGTGCGTTACCCCAGCTGGCTGACAGCTATTTTATACCGCTTTGGGGGTAAGGAATAGTATGGTTAAAAAATTTTTTTTTAATTTTTTTAAAAAGAAAGGAAAGAAAAAGACACCACAAGATGGAAAGATCGCCCACGATCACGGCCTGGTAGAATTAATATTGTTGCACTGACCATATCATCAAAATCTACAGATTCAACGCAGTCCCCATGAAAATTCCAATGACAATTCTTCTCAGAGATGATGGAAATAAATCCTAAAACTGATATGGAAACAAACAGACAAAAAGACCCAGACTAGCCAAAGTAATCTTGAACAAAAAGAATAATGCTGAGGGCTGGGGATTTAGCTCAGCGGCCCCTCTCCTGCCTCAGAAGCGCAAGGTCTTGAGTGTGATCCCGTCCCTTAGTACCGCAAAAGAAAAAAAAAAAAAGTAATTCTGGGCTGGGTGTGGTGGTGGGTGCACACCTCTAATCTCAGCACTCAGGAGGCTGAGGCAGGAGGATCACAAGTTCCAGGCCACCCTGGGCCACACAATGAGTTCAAGGTCAGCCTAAACTACATAGGGAGAACCTGTCTCAAAAAAAAAAAACAAAAATAAAAGATGCAGAAGGCATCATAATACCCCATTGCAAAATATACTACAAAGCCACCTGGGTGTAAGCCAAAAAAAAAGATCAAACAGCCCAATCAATAAATGGGCTAATGAATTAAACAAGATACTTTTTAAAAAGGAGAAATACAAACTGGCAAGAAGTATTTGAAAAAATGTTTGGGCGGGGGATATAGCTCAGAGGTACCACTCCTCCCTTGCAAGCACAAGGTCCTGTGTACAATTCCCAGTACAAAAAAAAAAGAAAAAGAAAAGAAAAAAAAATATATGTTCAATACCACTAGCCACTAGGGAAATGCAAATTTAAACTACATCAAAGCCCAGGCTTGGTCAAGGTGATCCCAACACTCTGGAGGCTGAAGCAGGAGGAATTACAAATCTGAGCCCAGTCTTGGCAACTTAGCAACTCGGCAAGACCCTGTCTCAATGTATATGTGCTGGAGATGTAGCTCGTTGCGAACACCCTGGCTTCAATTCCAGTGCTATAAAAACAAACAAACAAAAAAACCCCTACATTGAATGCTAGCTTCAGCCGCTTACAGATTAAAATCGGAATGATACAGAGGGGCTTAGCGTGGCCCCTGTGCAGGGATGACATGCAAATTCATAAAGCGAATATTTTTAATAGCTAAACCTTGGAAACAGCCCAGATGCCCATCATCTGACAGATGGATAAAGAAGATGCATTGGCGTTTTTTTTTTTTTATATAAAACCGAGTACTACTTAGCCATAAAGAAAGACAAATTAGAGACATTTATAGCTAAATGGATGCACCTTGAGCCCATGTACTCACAAGTGAATTAAAGAGGACACCATTAAAATGGCCTAAACACCATACTGTCTCTCTGGTGTGAGAAACCGAAAGCGTAAACGAGGACCAAAATGTGTAATAGATATTGTGAAATAGGAAGAAAAAGTTCAAAGGGGAAGGGGAACTGGGGGGGGGTGAGGGGAAGGAAAAAATAAAAAGGGAGGAAAAAAGGGAAAAATGGAAACAAAGCTTAAGGAAATAGTGAGCACTAGAGGGGTGGAAAGGAGGGCAGGGGTATGGGGGAATAATGACCAAGACACATCACGTACAGGTTCAAATTCCCGATGGTGAGTGTGACCGTAATGTACACCTAAAATGTGCCAAACCACTCAAATTCAAAAATACCCTACCTGGAGATTTCATCCCACGCCAGTCAGAACGGCTGTCATCAAGAAGATCGACAACAAAAAAGCCCCCCCGAAACAAAAGCCCACTGAGCATTGGCAGGGCTGTGGGGAAAAAGGAAAACTCCTACCACGATGAGGGTGTAAATCACTTGGGCAGCTACGCGAATTGGGACGAGGCCTGCAAACGTGTGTTTTACTGTGACAGGATTCGCCATGGCCGGGATGGGGCGGCAGCGGGGGTGTCCAGCAGCAAACGAGGGGGCAGAGACAGCGCGGAACGTGCACTCAGCAGAGTATTACGCAGCCACACCAAAGAATGAATAGATGGGACCAAAGATCATCATGTCGGGAAGTAAATCGGACGGAGAAGGACAAGCGCTACACATTTTCCCTGACACAGAGAATCTTTTTAAAATTATTTATTTAGTTAGTTTTCAGGGGACAGCATCTCACTATGTAGTTCAGACTGCTCTGGAAAACACTGTGTAGCCCAGGCTGGTCTCAAACTCGCAGCGATCCTCCTGCCTCAGCCTCCCAAGTGCTGGGATCACAGGCGTGCGCCACCACACCTGGCTTCACAGAATCTTTTTTTTAAAAATGACGGAAGTAGAAGGGATTCTATTATTAGACACGAGGAAAGGAACATGTGGGAGGACAGGGAGGAGGTCAGCGGGGAATGGGGGAAAGAAAAATTAAATTACTGTGGGAGGCCCTGGGCTTCATCACCATCACCACAAAAACAGAACAAAGTTTTACACAAATGTACCCATTACTTGGCAATTCCACACCCATGCATTTTCCCAAGAGATAGGCAAACATTTGCCCCAAAATACTCACAGCAGAACTATTCATAACAGCCAACTGTCTTCCACTGGAGAGCAGGAAAGAAAATGTGGCCCACCCACCCAGACGATGGAATATTATTCAGCCACGAAAAGGAAAGGCTGATTCACGTCGCAACATGCATGTAGGACTCTGTGTGGAAGAGGCTGGACGCAAAAACACACACTACCGCAGGAACCACCATACAAAGTGTCCGGGAAAAGACAAATGGGTAGCGACAGTGCGCAGTGTCACGATTACCAGGGACCCGGAATGACGCAAATGCTGGGGACAGTGGCAGCGTTGTGGTGACAATTGCACAACTCTGGAAATCCGCTAAAAATACTGAGTCACATGCTCGAAGTGAGTGAGGTCAGTGCATCTAGTTTATGCCTTGAGAGAACCCGCAAACAGCTGACTCCTTCCCCGCTGCGCCCGCTGGGTTTTAGGAGCCACAAGGGCAGAGGCTCCACCTCGATTAACAGCCCTGGCCGCACCTTGGGCAGGCTCGGGGCCCACAGTGAGTGAGGGTGAACACGGTGAGGGGATGGATCAGTGTGGGAAATCCAACAGCCCCTGGGTGTGGCGCACCTCTGTGATCCCAGAAATCTGGGAGGCTGAGGCAGGAAGATGGCAAGTTCAAGCCCAGCCCGGGCCATTGAGTGACTTCGTGACGCTGTGCAAATTTTAACCAGCACAGGATGCAGGAACTGGAACTAACGGGTGACGCTTGCTATTTGGGAATCACCTCCAAGCAGCATAATTTCATAACCCTGAATACTCAGTTCTCAGACAGCTCCTGGAAACCGTGCCCTAAGCGCAGCTTTTAGGTCTCTAAACCTTTTTACACATCGCACGCTGCTGGGCATCTGAGGCCTGCTCTGCCTCTGGACCGCAACCGACCATCGGCTCACACCCTTTGCTGCTCTTTGCTGCTCTCCCCAACCCGATCATCTTCTAAGAACACCGACCTTGTCACTCTACTCCTGAAGGACATTCAGTGGCTCCCTAGCACCATGGAACTGGTCCAAATTTTTCAGCCAGGAACCCCAGACCCTTCGCAATCTGGCCTTGGAATTATCCTCTCCCATTCCCCGGCCCCCATGCAGCTCCCAGTCGTCCTTTAGATGCTTTAACGAACTGGAAGGGCCAGCTGCGATCCGGAAGCCACTCCAGCCACCCAGATCCAGACATCTCTGTGACGCTCCCTGGGGCCGAGCCATGGGCCTTATCCACACATTTGTTAACTCCCGAGGACACACGCTGAGGTCTTAAAACAAAAGCCTGCGCAGGACTGGGGCACCGCACCTGCCCTGCAAGCACAAGGTTCTGAGTTAGATCCCCAGTGTACCCCCAAAAGCCTTCACAGTCTATGTAGCCCAGGCTGGCCTTGAAACACAGGGATCCTCCTGTCTCAGCCTCCTGAGTGCTGAGATTACAGGCATGCTTTTCCCAAGCATCTGCCAAGTCCCCAAAGCTCCTACATGGTGAGCATCATACCTGTTGTTAGATGTGACCTCTAATGTGACAGCCAGTCTTGCCTCACCTGTCCCGTGGGGAAGCAGCCCTGTGCCTAGGCGGTGGGCCCTGGGGGGGTGTCGTGGGCTCTGGGTCCCAGAGCCGCCTCTGCCCTTCTCTGGTCTCGGGCTCTGGGGAGTCCACACCCTTCTCTGTGCCTGTTCCCCACCCCACACCCTTCTGCCCAGCGAAGGCCTGAATTTGTTGTTCTTTGGGGTACTAGGGTTTGAACATGGGGCCTTTGTACTGAGCTCTATCCTCAGCACCATTTTGTAAAAAACTCTTTGAGACAGTGTCCCGCTAAATTGCTGAGCTGCCCAAAGTGGACTAAAACTTGTAATCATCCTGCCTCAGCCTCCCAGAGTGCTGGAATCGCAGGTGCCCACCACCGTGCCCCACTGGAGTCTGTGAGTAAATCTGTTAGTGCCAGTTTTCTCCCGTGCACTCTCGTATTAGGTGATGGTGTGTCTTGGTTTTTTTTTTTTTAATTTAGCGCCCGTAAGGCCTTGTGGGAAATGTCACTTGTAGGTCAGTGACTCCTCTCTCGCAGCGCCATCTGGTGGTGGTGGGGGAGATGACAGGGGCATGCGCAGAAAGGCGTTCACTGGGCCGGCAGGGGCGCACGGTCAAGAGTCAGGGCCACCGCCATCCCTGCTGTGGGAGGCGGCGGGTGCCCGCGGGGGGGGGGGGGGGGGGGGGGGGGGGGATCCTGGGGCCGCTGAGAACAGATCTGAATGGGGTGCAGCCCGGGGCCAGGTTCATGTCAGTGTCTGTGTTCAGACGACCACAGCGGGGCTTGTCCTGTCCTGACGCATCCGGGTCCCTGAGCACCTTCTCTGAGACTGACGTCTGTGCCATGGTTTATGTTTATGCCCAACAGGAAGAAACCAAACTCAGAGGCCAAGCCCTCCAGGAACTCAGCGCTGCCATCTTCCTCTTGGGGACAAGTTCCTTGGCATCATCTCTGGCTTGAACAGCTGGCAGCACCCTGAGATCACCCTTTAAAATGTCATTTCCTGCTGGGTGTGTTGGTCCTTGCCTGTAATCCTAGCACTGTGAGAGGCTGAGGCAGGAGGATCACAAGTTTGAGACCAGACCGGACAATTTAGGAAGACCGTCTTAATATGTGAAAAGGACTGGGGGTGTAGCTCAGTGTGAAGGCCGTGGGTTCGACCTGCAGCACTGAAAAAAAAGGTCTTTTCTCACCCTGAATTGCAGACAGTCTGTGGACGCCCAGCCAGCAGGTCCTAAGGGCAGTGCCCACCTCCCAGGAGTGCCCTCTCCGAGGCCGGCTGGGGCTACGCGGGGCACAGATCGGCTGGAGGTGCAGGCTGTTGGAGTGCGGTCTCCAGCGCAATCCTCACACCTGAGAGCCTGCCTGGCCCCTCCAGCTGCTGCCGCCATCCTGGGGCAAGAGCCACATGGAGCCAGGAGCTGTCTGTCCCGCAGTGCGTGGCCATCAGCTGTGCTCTTTGGAAAGCGGTTGGGGCAGGGGTGGCAGAGGGGACAACGGCATGCAGGTGGAAGGGATGGCGACGTCCTGGGTCCGCAGTGGCTCAGGAGGTGGAGGAAGGGAGGCGTTGAGAAGGGCCGGAAGTCAGCCCAGATGCCCCAAAGGATGGGTGCGTCAGGAGGGTGGTGCCCACAGCAGGCAGGGTGTGACAGGCGTGCCAAGAACGCCGCAGGGCTGCCAGGGCCTCAGCTGTCACGGATTGGTCGCCTGCTTGGCGTCTCACCCTGGAGCCCTCTCCTCCCACCCCGCTGCAGCACAAAGGACAACGACAGTCACCACTTACTCTTTCTCGTTCAGAGGCCCCACACGTGAAACATGGGTGTCCTCCCGCTGGGCTCCCTCCATGTCGTCCTTCACCTCTTCCGGCCGACGGTGGCGCCCAGCGTCCCTTGGTCCCATCATGCGTCTCCACTGCTGTCTTCACTCAGCTCTGGTTGAAGCATCTGGATGCCGGGCATTAGGAAAGGGCCCTCCCTAAATCCTGATGATTTCATCCTTTTTTGTTTCTAGTTTTATTTTGACGGGGCCTTGTTAGGAATTTCTGGCTGGCCTTGAACCCACTGTGGAGTCCAGACTGGCTTCAAATCCTCCTGCCTCAGCCTTCCAAGTGCCAGGACTCCAGAAGTGCACCACCACTCCCAGTTGAGATGGTTTCATCTTGAGATCTTTAATTTTGCCTGCGAGGTCCGCCCCACTTTTTTCTTTTAGTACCAGGATCTAAGTCAGGTCCTTGAGCATGCAAGGCAGGCGGCGGCACCACTGAGCTAAATCCCTGGCTTTTTTTTTATTTCTTGAGATCGAGCCTCACTATGATGGCCTCAAACTCACAATCCAGGAGTCCATGAGTGATCCGGAGAGATCACAGCTGCACCAGAGCCAGGCGCAAAGCCCAGTCTGACCCAACCCATGGCTGCCACCGACAAACAGTGCCCAACACACAGGATACACGACACACAGGCTGAACCCGGCCACGGGTCGGAAGAGCAGATGCGCCTACGCGTCACCTGTACAAAGGCTGCTCTGGCTCAGAGCCTGCATTTAGGGCCTTTTCCTTCGCTGCCAGTGAGAACGTGAGGCAGGCATAGTGCAGGTCCGCGTATGACGTCTACATCGTCCATGCGTCCGTGTGTGGGGACCAAAGGTCTGGGAAGAAATCTATCCCAAGTATGAAAATGACATCTTCGGACTAATAGCATAACCAAACCAAGGGGGGAAGGCTGTGTGATGCTGCACACTCAAGAGGCTGAGGCAGGAGGATTGCTGCAAGTTCAAGGCCAGCCTGGGCTACACAGTGAGATCCTGTCTCAAAAACAGGAGCAGTGGCCGGGGATTTCGCTCAGTGATTCTGCTGCCTGCCTCGCAAATGCAAGGTCATGAGTTTGATACCCAGTTTGCTACAACAACAACAACAACAACAACAACAACAAAAACAAAAGGACCCTTCAATGTTGTTCCTTATCTAGTTTTTAAAAATTTTAAAAACAAAAATTTAAAAATTTTTTGCAAAATTTTAAAAACACAAACACCCTTCTAACAAGCTGGTTCACCTTCCATCGGGAGGGCTCCCTGTATACATTTCTACGGTTCGGTCCCTTCTGGCCTTATGAAGTAAGACTGCTTGGCCTTCCAAATACAAGTGCCTTTATTATTTATACAGCCCAGGGCAGAGAACCTCTAGAACAGGGAGTTCCTGAATGGCGTCAGCAGGCACAGGACAGGGAAGCCAGGCTGGGTCCGGTGACGCTCTGGGTGGCGGTCACTTCCAGGTGGTGAGGACAGTCCTCCCTGTGTCTCGCGAGCGGCCCCCTTTGGGCCCAGGCGTCTGGCCTGAGCGACTTCTGAGCTCCCGATCGGCCCCGTCCCCCTGGGCCAGCTCCTCGTCGTATCTGGAAACAGAGGTCTCCAGGGTCACCAGGAGCTCTCGCTGGGAGGCAGCGCCAAGGATGTCACCAGGAAGCAGCGGGCCCAGCCCAGGGTCTTGTCCCCACCCACCCCAGCTACAGGATAGCTGCTCAGGTGGCTTCAACAGCCCATAAAGCACTCAAGGCCACCAGGCAGCAACAGCAGGGCTGGCGAAGGAAAACATGGATGAGACGACCCTCTGGGAGCACCGAACAGGAACGGTGTCAGCACCTGCCCGGAGGGGCCGGGATGGGCATGTGACTGCACGCTGCTCCCCGCCTGGAACCTGCTAGCCCCGAGCGGCGGTCACGGCCCTGTTCAGGTCCCAGCCTTCTCTGCCCTTCCCCTTCGGGGGGCTCCTGTCCTGAGGTCCCCAAAGGAGGCCAGCCATCACCCGCACCTGGAGCAGTTCCGGAGAACGTGGCCACTTCTCCCCAAGGTGTCTTCCCGTCACCCCCGACTGGGTGCTCCCCTGTCCCCCAGGGCTCTGTGTCTCCATCGGGGCTCGAGGCAGCCCACAGAGCACCCTAGCAGGAACAGGAAGCTGGCAGTGTGAGTTTGTGTGCCCCAGATCACACTAGCACTGCCACTCCAGAACATCTCCGGGCCCAGGGTGTCACACGAGGCCGGTATTTTGTATCTGCTACTTCCAGGGTCTGTTTTAAAGTTGCGACTACACTGTCACACCCCTAAAAAATGCTCTTCAAACCAGGTGTGACAGCACACACCTGCAATCCCAGCATGGGGGAGGCTGAGGCAGGAGAATCACCATGAGTTCAAGGCCAGCCTGGAATACAGAGCAAGACTGTCTCAAAAAAAGAAAAAGGAAAAATGCTCCAGAGAGCTCAGCAGACTCAACTCTGCCTGTCCACCCCAGAAAGACGGCCAAAAGAGGAAGGGCCACACAGCTCTGCCTTAGTTATACACGCTGCAGGGCCAGGACGCCCCAGAGGCCAGCTGCCTGCCAGATGTGTGGGTCTGCTTGGCCGTGAGGCTCAGGCGTGTGTGGCCCTGGGTAGCCCTGTGTGGCCTCTGTTCCACTGTTCCATTCCAGCCCTCCCCTCCAGTCAGCACCACCCTGCTGCCTCAGCTGGGGTCCCTACCTACGGGTGGCGCCTACCGTGGAGCCCTTCAGCCACCTCCCAGGAGTGGAGTAGGACAGCTCAGTGGTCCGGGCAGGGATCACACTTGCTTCCTTTCCGACTAACTCAAGTGGGGCTTCTAACCCTGCTGCTTTATTTTATATATTTACTTATCTTTTTTTTTCCTTTTTCTTTTTGAGACAGGGTCTCACTATGTAGTTCAGGCTGGCTTTGAACTCATGGCGATCCTCCTGTCTCGGCTTTCCTGGTGCTGGGAATACAGGCGTGCGCCACCATGCCCAGGTTCTTTTCTTTTCTTTGTTTTTTAGTTCCTTTCCTTTGCGGTATGCGGGGCGTAGTTTTGGGGGGGTTGTTGTTTCTGCAGTACCAGGCGGCCTCACACATGCCAGGCAAACTCTCCACCACCGACTTACTGCCAGCCCCAGATCAGCCTCGTGACAGGAACCTGCCCGTCACAGCCCCTTCCGTAACCTCTTTCTCTGCCCCACTTTTCCCCCGCAGGTCCTGAACCACTCCAAGCCTTTGTTCGCTCCTCTGTGAAACGCAGCTAAGGAAAAGGAAGCCCTGGGAGGCTGAGTACCGTTCCCTCCTTCCAGCTCTCAGTCGAACCCCAGGTACGCAGACCAACACCCACACGGCGGCCACAGCTCCTCCACGTCCCACACCATGTCCGCCCCACTTCCGCTGTCCCCACAGCCCCCGGGGGCATCTCGCGGATGCACGAGCCACCTGTCCCCGGTGGGACGCTGCCCACACAAGGCGAGGCTGTGCGGCCCAGGAAGTCCAGCCCGAGCCTGGACCTGGCTCCTGGAAGCACAGCCGAGGAGTCCACGAACTTACAGAATTTCATAGTTGCCAAGCACCTCCTTTGGGGGCGACTTGTTCCACTTGCAGTCGGGGATCTCGCCATTGGGGACCGCGATGTTCAGGGTGTCATTAATCAGGTTGTACTTAAGGATTCGGTCGTTGGCTGTGCTGGAGGTGAGGGACGGGGACGCATTCACCTGCGAGGGGAAACACCGGCTTCAGTTGTGCGCCTGGCTCAACTGTGGATGGAAACATATCTGCAGAAGAAAACACAGACTCCAACTTGCTTTAGGTAAAGCTACCAGCTTTTCATGTGATTTTTTTTTTTTTTTTTTTTGAGACAGGATCTCACTATGTATTTCAGTCTGTCCTTGAACTCATTATGTAGCCCAGGCTGGCCTCGAACCTATGGCAATCCTCCTGCCTCAGCCTCCTGAGTGCTGGAATTAATGGCTGTGCATCCCCTTGCCCATATTTAACCCCTCTGGAGCCCCTTGCACAGGAAGCAGCCTGTGATCTACTTTTATCAGCTGTTACATGAGGTGAAAATACTGCTTAAAGACAGGCTAAGGATCGTGCCCTACACATCAGCCATCGCACACAGAAAAGGGGCCCTGTCCATTCCAAGTGCCCCCGTGTGATCAGCTCTGCCCTAAGTACCAGGGCTGTGTGGCATCTGTTAGGGTCAGGGACCAGAGGACCCCGGCCGTGCGGCAGTGTGGGTTTAAGGACGCTAGATGGCGCCCCTGCTTGCTAAGAGAGCAAAACCTCGGCTGTACAGCAGGAGACTAGGTGAAGCGAGGGCCCCTCCAGCACATGGGAAGTTGGTCCCTGAGGCCTCTGCCCTGAAACTCACAGGTCAGATGCGACGTTTTCCCGGGAGAGGCCCAAGGCCTGGCGCTCCTACACCAGACTCACTTCTGATGGCCCTGGGGAGCTGCTCCAAACCAGGACCGATGAGAGGCTTCTCCCTTAGAGTCTTTGGGCTCTAGTAGGGGGCCTAATGCAGACAGGGCCAAAGGATCTGAGGACCTTGGCTGCCCTTACAACTGTAGTCATGCAGTAATTGCGGCGCAGTAATTACTGTGCTGTAACTCTTACGATACACATGTGAAGACGGCCCGCCATCGGGAGGGCGGGACGGGAGATGAAGGAAGGGCAGCACGCTGCATACATCTGCCTCCTGCTGTGGACCAGGGGCAGGAACCTCGCACCCTGCCCCTTCTCCAACAGCCCCACCCTCCGCTACGCCTTCAACCAAGGCAGACAGTGGAGACTGCCGCACACCCTGTGACGCAGTACCTCGAGGCAGGAGGACCACAAACTTGAACTTAGCCTGGGCAACTTAGCAAGACCCTGTTTCAAAATTTTAAAAACTAATAAATAAATAATAGGGCCAGGGATTTAGCTCAGTGGTTCCACTGCCTCCCTCGCAAACACAAGGTCCTGAGTTCAATCCTCAGAACCAAAAACAAACAAATAATTAATTAATTAATAATAAAATAGAGGGGGCAGGGGATGTAGCTCGGTGTGAAGGCCCTGGATTTAATTCCTAGTACGAAAACCAAAACCAAACAGGCAAATGACCCACTTCCTTCTGTAGGCAGGAGAGTACGAACACTCCTTGTCCCCAGACAGTGCGCTACTGTGGGCTGAGGCCCTGGGGTTCGTAGGCTTCTCTCCCACAGGGCGCAACGTCCCAGGAGGACGGGGACCGCCGGAGTGGGGGAACCACCGGAAATCACGCCGCCAGACTCCCCGGAAGGTGGACGGCAGCGCCCTCCCCGGGGACGGGACGCGGGGCCGAGGTCAACCCAGCCGCCTGCAGACCCACAGAGCTGGACGCCGTCTCCACCCTCCCGTCCCTGTCCCCACTGACCCGGACGCAGTTACCTCAATGAGCCAGGGCTTCAGCTTGTCGTCGATGATGATGTCGTAGCCATAGCATTCGAAGCAGTGCTTGTCGTTGTTCATCACCGGCTGCAGGCAGAAGGGACCCCGGGTTACACAGCTGGCACCGTCAGCGACCCGCAGGCCGCAGGACCTACCGGGGTCTGGGTGCCCCCCGCCTTCCCTGCTGCCCTGGGGCTCAGAGCCGGAGCCCTTTCCTCCGGCAGCAATGCACAGATGAGGGGGGCTGAGGTCCCCACGTCCCGCTCAGCAGAGGCCTGGCCATCAGCACAGGATGTCACTGGCAGACTATCCTCGGAGCAGACGTGAAACGGACCAAGTCAGAGACTCAGGCTCCTGGGGGGACCACGGCGGCAGGGGAAAGACGCCCTGGGCCTTGGGACGGAAGCCCCTTTCCTCCCCTTCCTCATTCTGGGGCCCAAGCCTGAGTGTATTTCTTCATGAGTCAAAATGAATCACAGGGGTGACAGGAGCCTGTGGGGACCCCAGCTGTGCAGTCCTGAGAGCAGGGCCTGGCACACAGAAATGACATTTCCTGCTTTCCCTGCAAGTTCAGCAGACTGCAAGCCACCAAGCAAATGCAAGATCTGAACTTAGGAGAAAAAGAAGAGGAAAGATATTTTTGGCCCTAAATATCCATGAAACAGCAAAGTTAAGACACTAAAAATAAGAAGGTGGGGCCGGGGATTTAGTTCAGGGTGCCGCTGCC